AGAGGTTTTATGGTTCATCTTCACTCTCTGATGACGATTCTGCGCTCTTCTCCAGTATAGCATCAGCAATTAAACATTCGGCGATATAGAATTCAAAATCGAGTAAATCCATGATATTTTTTTTGTGTTCACCGCATGCATATTTGTCTTTTTTATACATAACCCAGGAGTTGCACGCGGCAACATCGATAAAATGCCAAAACACCTTCAAAGGCCATTTTTTGGTGCGAATTGCAATCCTGTAGTAAGAGGCGTACCTATCCGCTAACTCTACTCCTCCCATGTATTTTTTGTAGCTTGAAATTGCATGTGGACAATCAACGTTAATGTACTTTCTGTTTACTTTATCCCATCGTCGAGCGATTTGTAGGGGTAACGATCCAGTTGACGTGGAAGGTATAAGCACAGAGCGGCTATCCATCCACTTGACAACACACAATTTGTCATCTTCCCTAGCGAACTCTTCGTGACTACCTCTTCCTTTTTTTTTTAATAAAGTTTTGTCGTTTGATAACTTTGATCGAAGTTCCTTAGGTATCCTGTTGAGTTGAATAGTACGAGTCGCAAATATTCCTTTATCCAACAAATGTCGAGAATGTTTATACTTCACTGCCTTCACTGTGATCTGTAGCAAGTTTTTGTACAACAGTACCACCAATTCGCAAATGTTTATTCGGCTTTCCATCGGGCCACGTGTTTGCTCTTTGGTATATAAAAAAGTCCAGTATTAAACCATCAGGCGATGCTAGAAGAAAGTTTTTCAATCCTACTGGATTTGGTTTGCCTTTTACGTATTGCTTAAGGCTTGTTTTTCCTGAAAACGGAATCATTTGCTCATCGATGCTGCATTTCTTTTGGCTTGGGAATTAATCTATACCTTTTCAATAAAACGTCTAGTACTGGTCGAACTCTCCAAAGTTTATCTTTTTTTTCCTCTTCGGTAACTGACATGTTGTCAACAATATTATTTCGGAACTTAAAAAGTCTGTCTCTGGCAATTTGTGTGATGGCTGGGACTTTTATTTGAGGTCGACATACGTATCCTTGGAAGTTTCATGCACCCCGCAACAATATGAGCGCCTACTAGCTTTTTATACTCAGAAGGAGTGGAGTTTCAATTGTGGTTGTTTTGAATTGCATACATATTACTTTTTTCTGAAACTAAGCTCCAGAAGTTATCATCGAAGTACTCTGAAAAATAATTGAAAGGTGTCCACATCTCTCTATTATCAACATCCCATTCAATTACGTCGGAACATTCAGAAGAATTTGAAAAGCTTTTTGAAAACCATTTAAGTCTTCGGACTTGAGTTTGTGGCAGAACTTCGGGTGGGGAAGATTTCTCTTCCCCTAATAAATCCGCAATTATTTCTTCCTCAAAATCTATGCAATTTCGCTCTTCCTCGTCATCCTCATCGTCCGACATATCCTCAATATCGCTTTCCAGGAGCATATCAAAAATCTGTTGCTCCGACAATTTACCTGCCATTTTTTTGTTAATATGTTACAAATGTGCAGCGGGCTGGTCATGGAATATATGGGCAAAAATATGGGTAATAGAACAAAGTTAATGACAAAATCTATACCTTACCTTGTTTATTGTAATTGTTAGATTCAAATTAATCACACTTTCGAATTTTTTGGTTGCACAGCTTTCAAATTTTTTACTAATAATCATTAGCACTTTAGAAAATCTGTGTTTCGCTCAGCTGACTACACTCATTGCGCTCTTTTTAACAGTATTGCCAGCACAGAGAACAGATTTTGGGTTTTTACTACAAATAATACAAATAACTGGTCATAAACTTAAATAATAAAGTATTTTTAAAGTATTTCTACGGATACTTGAAGAATGTCCAGTAGACTGCACGTGAGGACCGAAGAGGTTAAATGGGAATGTAGAAAATGAATTTTCGAAGACATATTTACGCCTGGAGAAAAAAGAAAATGTAAATAAGTAAAATTTTATATAATTCAATTAAATAAGTTTTGAATAATCACCCATTTCTGCATAATTTTTGATTAAGTCGCTCACTATCTTCTCGTAGTTTGGACTTTTGTGTTTACCGAGAAAAGAAGAAACGACCATATCGAAGGAATCCTCAACTGGTGACAATAGTCCTTTGAATTGGTCATTATTTATCAAAGAAGCAGTGTTTTGTGTAGCCACTTTGTAGACCGCATAACATTCCAACGACTGTAAGATCGGCACTTATTTTCCAATCATGCTCTTCATATTTCAACAATCCTGGAATGTCTTTGCAATAGCATACATTGTCTTCCTTCGTATAGTGTTTGGCAAATGGTTCGTGACGATTTCTATAATATGTCACCTTAACATGGGGTGACACGGATTGAAATTGTTGCATTGTGATAGAACGTTTCTCTCGTTTTCCATTAAAAATTCATTACAACTTGATTTCCCACATTCAGATGATTTTTCAGATTCTGCTGTTGGCAACGAAACTGGTTACGCAACTCCAGCTGAACGTGAACTGGCAATGAAACAGTATGTACGTTAGCATAAATCACTTTTCTTGATTTTCCAAAGCCAAGTACTTTTGTCATACAAATATAACAATCTTCTGAGTGGCATGTATGTTCTCGCCATATCATTGGTACATTAACACCCCTATCATGCATTTCGATTACGTTCCCGCTCTACGCTCCGCCGGAGTCGAAATTAGGTATCATGCGTTACGATTGGATTGAAAGAAGAAGAGGAAGAGCATAACTCTTTCGAAATCAGCTGTTTGCCTTGAAATATGTGAAACTGGAACATAACAAAGCAAAAATACATAAATTACTGCTGTTCAAAGAAAATAAATAAAAGTATTTTTATTAAACGTAATTATGGAATCTTTATCTGCGGCGATATTACTGGTTGAGGAGGAGAGCAGCGCATCTCAGAATGCTGGGGTGAGAATTGAAAGAAGAAGATTAAGAGATACAGTGTTGGAAAAAATAATAGAAACGTACAGTTTTCAATATATTTTTATTGTTTGTAGAATTCTTTCAATTTAAATACATTACGATTTAATATATTTGTTAAAGTTAATCAAAATCTAGATTTATTTAGCAAGTGCTATAAGACACAAATAAATTGTGGTCCATTTTCTAATTTTGGCCTGGAAAAAAAAATATAAACATAATATAATTTCTTCATAAATTAAAGTTTGGCCCAAACTTCTTACAAAAATATTATTGTTTCAATATCTTGTTGAACCGCCGCCTTGCCTAATTACCTCTTCGCATCTTCGGTGCATCGAATGAACCAAATTTGAGCAAACGCTTTTTGGAATTGAATTCCACGATTTTTGAATCTGGGCCCACAATTCGTCCTTAT